CACAGTAAAATTGTGGTGCTAATTGTGTCATAATTTGTCATAGAAGACTTAAAGTAAAACTACGTAAAACAAGTTAAACTGACACTTTTTTTTTGCCTAAACCAAAATGCTTGATAGTTGCAGCTCAAATGAGGACAGAGAAGCTTGAGATGAGGGCGTTGTTGTATCTGTCATCATATTCCCAAATTAAAGTCCGTAACTTGCTTTGAATTCTTCAGTCATCCAGTTGGAATACCTGAAGAAATCACACAAAACAAAGATTGCGTTGCAAACGTCTCATTAATAAACCCTGGCCAAGTTTCAAACAGTACTTTTTTCCTGGAAGGGAGCTAAACTAACCTCTGTACTTTATGGACTTTGCTCTGGATCTCAGTCTTTCTCTTTTGGCATGCACACACAGTTTTAATGTATTTTGGCAGAGAATCATAGTTTGATTGAACTAATAAAATCTTCCTATTTTAAGTCTGAGAAGAGTAGTCGCTTGGTTTAACATTACCTTGTTATAATGAACAGGAAGAGGGAGGGAAACAAACATGAAGGACAAAAGCTCAAAACAGAGCTGAGCACATCTAAAACACAGTTAAACAGGCAAATGCGCTTAGCAGCAGGGGCGTCACTAGGGTTGAAATACAAGGGGGGCTTAGCCCGCTGGGTTGTAGGAAGGAATTAGAATGAAGGAGTGAAATTTTGTCATCAATCATAAACAGGCTAAACAGCAGATTATAATTTCAAATAAACAATAAACAAAAGAAACTACATTTGAACTATTTTGCAGTCCTGCTTCTAGTTGTTAACAAACTCGAAGTCAACAAACCATTGGCGGAGATTTGTGTTGTTTTCTCTATCCTTAAAGGAAAGCTGTTGTGTGTCACCAACATTTTAACAATAATTAACCAATATTCCTAAGTTTGCAAGAGCTCTTTCTTTTTAATAATTATGATAAGATTAGTTTTTTTTCCTCAAAAACCTGCTTTATTGAATCGTACACATGTTCTCTGCCCTCTGGTGGAAGCTAAAGTTTTTTTACAAATTGTGTTTAGTTTTAGTCTTGTTGTAAAAGTAAATGATTGTATTAGTCAACATTTTTTAAATTGAAAAAACAGTTTTCTGTTTATTTCATGTGTCAGGTTTTAGATGATGAACTGCCTCTCTGGGCTGATAACATTTTTGCACAAGGCTGCAGATTTCTCTCTCAGCATCTTCTAACAAGGTTAGCTCTATTTCTCGCTCAGAGAAAGGTAAATCATCAGTAGCTCTGATGATGTTTTTTAGGGGGAAGCATGTAAACTACCTTTGTGAGACTCTTATTTTGATTAATACAGTCAGACAGGATGTGGTATTCAGCGCTTTTATTGTGATGACTGGAAGTGTGTGTGCTGGTTGCTGGGGAACTTGGCTGCTGTAATGGGAAGTGACGGTGGTGTTAATTAAAGAGCCTCTTGAGTTGATGGCCGTCGTCCTCGCTTCATGTGTAGCTTTTATCAGAGATGTGATCAAGTCACAAGTAAGTCACACGTCTTTTCAGTCAATTCTCGAATCAAGTCCAAGTGAACGACAACCCAGTCCAAGTCCAAAGTCAGTGATATGGAAGTCCAAGTCAAGTCCAAGTAATTAACTATGAATTTTCAAGTCATAATCAAGTCATCTGTCCAACTTCTATTTAATGACAATGATAATAAATAAATTCCATAAATAAATTAGTAAGCTTCTTAAAGCTTCATTTATTTGCTCAAACAAGCAGAAAGTGCAACTGAAACTGATTATAAACAAAGAGCTGCTGCATTTAGCAGTACAAGATCAAACCCAGAACGAAGAATGATTCATGATTTGTGTCCATGTCGGGCCACTTTTGTGCTAAAATATCAAATATGCTCAAGTCATCATCAAGTCAACAGATACAAGTCGATTCAAGTCGCAAGTCATTAGCATTCAAGTCCAAGTCAAGTCGTAAGTCTTTATACACTCAACAAAAATATAAACGCAACACCTTTGTTTCTGCTCCGATTTTTCATGAGATGGACTTAAAGATCTAAAATTCATTCCAGATACACAATATCACCATTTCTCTCAAACGTTGTTCACAAATCAGTCTAAATGTGTGATAGTGAGCACTTCTGCTTTGCTGAGATAATCCATCCCACCTCACAGGTGTGCCACATCAAGATGCTGATCCGACATTATGAGTAGTGCACAGGTGTACCTTAGACTGCCCACAATAAAAGGCCACCCTGGAATGTGCAGTTTTGTCTCACAGCAAAATGCCACAGATGCCACAAGCATTGAGGGAGCGTGCAATTGGCATGCTGGCAGCAGGAATGTCAACCAGATCTGTTGCTCATGCATTGAATGTTCATTTCTCCACCATAAGCTGTCTCCAAAGGCGTTTCAGAGAATATGGCAGTACATCCAACCGCAGACGACGTGTACCCACACCAGCCCAGGACCTCCACATCCAGCAGGTTCACCTCCAAGGTCGTCTGAGACCAACCACTCAGACAGCTGCTGAAACAATTGGTTTGCATAACCAAAAAATGTCTGCACAACCTGTCAGAAACCGTCTCAGGGAAGCTCAACTGCATGCTCGTCGTCCTCATCGGGGTCTTGACCTGACTCCAGCTCGTCGCCGTAACAGACTTGAGTGGGCAAATGCTCACATTCGATGTTGTCTGGCACGTTGGAGAGGTGTTCTCTTCACGGATGAATCTCGGTTTACATTGTTCAGGGAAGATGACAGACAGCATGTGTGGCGTCGTGTGGGTGAGCGCTTTGCTGATGTCAATGTTGTGGATCGAGTGGCTCATGGTGGTGGTGGGGTTATAGTATGGGCAGGCATCTGCTATGGACGAAGAACACAGGTGCATTTTATTGATGGCATTTTGAATGCACAGAGATACCGTGATGAGATCCTGAGGCCCATTGTTGTGCCGTACATCCATGAACATCACCTCATGTTTCAGCAAGATAATGCACGGCCCCATGTTGCAAGGATCTGGACACAATTCTTGGAAGCTGAAAATGTCCCAGTTCTTGCATGGCCAGCATGCTCCCCGGACATGTCACCCGTTGAACATGTTTGGGATGTGCTTGACCGGCGTATACGACAGCGTGTACCAGTTCCCACTAATATCCAACAACTTCGCACAGCCATTGAAGAGGAGTGGACCAACATTCCACAGGCCACAACTGACAATCTGATAAGCTCTATGCGAAGAAGATGTGTTGCACTGCATGAGGCAAATGGTGGTCACACCAGATACTGACCAGTTCTGAGTCCCCAGACCCCAATAAAGCAAAAAACTGCACATTCCAGGGTGGCCTTTTATTGTGGGCTGTATAAGGTACACCTGTGCACTACTCATGATGTCAGATCAGCATCTTGATGTGGCAGACCTGTGAGGTAGGATGGATTATCTCAGCAAAGCAGAAGTGCTCCTTATCACACATTTAGACTGATTTGTGAACAATGTTTGAGAGAAATGGTAATATTGTGTATCTGGAATGAATTTTAGATCTTTAAGTCCATCTCATGAAAAATCGGAGCAGAAACAAAGGTGTTGCGTTTATATTTTTGTTGAGTGTAGATTTTATCAAGTCAAGGAAGAAGTCATTAAAATAATGACTCAAGTCCATGTCATGTGACTCGAGTCCACGCCTCTGGTTTATATACAGTTAGCATCATCCTCTCAGGACTCTTGGGTACACTCCCTCGCTTTTGGCCCCATGTGTTACTCACATCGCTTTGCAGACACAGGAGTCTTGCATACAACTGGAACATTTTCCTACGAGCTTTGGCGCTGCTAACAACCGGCCCAGTTTGTCTCACGTGAGTCTCCCGTGACTGGCCATATGCATGATGGAGGTAGGACTCGAGGAGAGAACATCATTTCACCCTTTCTGCACCTCTAGGGTAACGAGACATTGAATGGCTTGTTGTTTTTTAGCGGAGGCGGTCCAATTATTGGTGGTGACTATTTGATCATTGCTGGATATTGGTAAGGACACGTCACCTGCGTCGATGCCAAACCCACGCCCTTGATACAAACACTCTTGTATACAGGCGATGCTCCTGGACATCATCTGTGATGATCCTGGAGTCATTTGGTGTTTTGGATCTTTCAACATCACACACCCTCTTCCAGATGATCCAGCTAGGGCTGATCAGACCCCAGCGTGTCTTTGGCTAGCTGACTAACTACTACAGTGACTCCGTGGTTCTCATTTGATATATAATGCATAGGATAAGTAATGTAAAAAAGTACGAGAACGGTTATATTTTAGGGAGGCTTGGGATTTTTGGGGAGACTGAAGCCAACGCTTAGTAGTCTTGCTATTATGCAAAGAAACGACTAAAATGTAGTATTTAAGTAGGTGGATTACCAAATGGTAAATACCAGAAGCAGAAAACGAGAATAAAAACACAAAGCTTATCCAAAACATATGTAGATTTTTTTAAGACAGCTGTTCTTCACGTTTTCCTGTAGAGAGCAGTTCATAAAGTGACACACTGCCAACTGAGAGTGGGTATTTCTTGGCATTGAATTGGGCTTTTAATACAGCTAGGGGCTGTGTTATAAGAGATACTCAAGATTTAGGTCCTAACCTATATTAGTGGGCTTCATTTTACTATAATCTTCGCTTAAGAGATCCAAATTTGTCAACTGAGTCAAACTGAGTGTATGAATCAGATTATTAGCCCCAATAGTTGAGTTTCAAAAGCATTGTTGTGAGTCAGCAGCTTGTGGTCTAAATGTAGTCTAATTAAGCTAAAAGCTTCACTGACTCTTTTCCAAACTCCTTTTCCTCAACCAAAAATTTGGACTAATGGGATGCCCTTACCTTTAAATAAGATTACTGAGCAGACACATTTCTGTGGCATTCAGTACCTCTTCTGGCAACACTCATAGACTCTTGGAGAGATTTCATGTTTGATCTTGTTTGTAAACTAAAGCTGACGGCAACAGTTTGGCTAAGAAATGCTAATTTCTGCTGTTTCTTTACAGGCTATGGACACGCAGCCCCAGGGACCGATGCAGGGAAGGCTTTCTGCATGTTTTATGCCGTCCTTGGAATCCCTCTGACTCTGGTCATGTTCCAAAGTCTGGGAGAGAGAATGAACACTTTTGTCAAATACCTCCTGAAACGCATCAAGAAGTGCTGCGGCATGAGCATCACGGACGTGTCCATGGAGAACATGGTGACAGTGGGCTTTTTCTCCTGCATTGGCACGTTGTGTATTGGTGCTGCTGCCTTCTCCCACTATGAGGACTGGAGCTTCTTCCAGTCCTACTATTACTGCTTCATCACATTAACAACTATAGGCTTTGGGGACTTTGTGGCCCTTCAAAAGAACCGGGCCCTCCAGAAGAAGCCCCTGTATGTGGCCTTTAGTTTCATGTATATCCTGGTGGGTCTAACAGTTATCGGAGCATTCCTTAACCTCGTGGTCCTCCGTTTCCTGACTATGAACAGTGAAGATGAACGGCGAGATGCCGAAGAGCGCGCTTCACTTGCTGGTAATCGTAACAGCATGATCCTCCACACACAGGACGAATCTCTGCAGCGGGGGCGAAGGCGACGTGAGCCATTCAGGGCGGAGGTGACTGATCTGCAGTCAGTGTGCTCATGCATGCATTACCACTTGCAAGACTACGGCAGCTCTAGAGGGGGGATTGGAGGCCTGGGTTGTGCCTTTTCCCACCAGAACTCCTTCAGCTCCCAACTGAACCCTAACCAGTACTTTCACTCAGTTTCCTATAAGATCGAGGAGATCTCACCGAGCACCTTGAAAAATAGCTTCCTACCTTCGCCCATCAGCTCTGTATCTCCCGGCCTTCACAGTTTTACAGACAGTCACCAGCTCATGAAGAGAAGGAAATCTGTCTAAACCCCTAACGGGACAAATACGTTGCCATGGTTTGTATACAAGGTCAAAGCATTTCCAATGCTGCTCCTCTCCAGATCCTGTTTTAGCACTTTTCCCCTCAAATTGGTGGTAATAGAAGTATTTCTGGAAACAGGTAAAGAACATTGCACAGAACAGCAAGTGTGGACTAAACCAGACGCAAAGCATGAAGCAAGGATTTCTATTTTTTCAAGAGATTGCATCGTTTCAAAAGACACTTCCTGAACTCTGACATCTTATTACAGATTTACACTAACCGAATCTATGAACTTTGGTCACATACCAAATGATGCACACTGGGAAAAAGCTATTTTTCAAAGAGAGTTTGCTTGTTTCACTTTGACTTGAATAAATATTTGTGCATTATTCCATTGCCTCACTGCAGACAGAGAATTCAACATGACCTAAAGCATCAGGTTTTTGTTTTTCTCTAAGCAGTCTTTTATTTGTATAGTTTCACCTCACCATAAACCAAACTGTTGTTGCCAATAACTGCATGTGGATTTGATGTCATTTACTAGTTTAAAGTCTTTGTCTTTACTTCAGAAAATCATACCACTGTTTATTGACATTTCCTGTTGATTTAGACGAGTTGAACTGGGCCAAAAAAGCTTTAATTTCATGCCACACTCCCAATTCATCATAATGTTTTGCAGATTTGGAATGCAATAGAATGATTATGGATTATCTTGTCAATGGAATTTAGGTTCTAATTTAGATGTCATGTACTAACTCCAAAGACAAAAGTACAATCCAGCTAATGGTGGCCATTAGTTTCTGTAGTAAATGTAGGAACAAGTGAGGATGGCAGAGAAAGTGATTAACCAACCTTTGGATGAATCATTTCCCAGCAACACCTTAGCAGCATAAGAATATCTTTCATTTACCCTTATGTTTGTGTTTCTAGTCAGAACATTGGAGGGAACATTTGAAAGGTCAGTTTCCATGACTGGGTTAGGAGTCAGCATGGTAGCTACAAGCAAAACTAGTTTAAAAGTAGAGATTTGTTTTTATGGCTACAACTGGAGACCGTGTTAATATAATGGAAGCCATTGGCCATTCGAATAAACTGCTGGTTTTGTTAAATTCATAATATTGTGTTCACTTCAAAATGTCCACCCATCTATTTTACTCTGCTTCGAGGTTGGGTCGAAGGGCAGCTGCCTAAGCAGGGAGGTCCGGACTTCCCCTCTCCCCAGCCACTTGAGCCAGCTCCTCTGGGGAAATCCTAAAGCATTCCCAGGCCAGACAACCCCTTCTCACACCTGAAGCGTCAAAAAATGACACTGGCTGACCAAGCATTTGTTTCTGATGTGTTGGGGCATTTAAACTCGAACCTCTTGCTATTTTCAATTCAATTCAATTTCAATAAAATTTCAATTTAATATTTTGTACCTTCCCCTCACCCCCATCCTAACATTAGCCCTGTTTCTCGCTCTAAATTTCCCCTTAACCGTGTTTGAGAGGGATGATACAACTAGAAACAAGGTTTTGCATGCGCAAGAGGGTTAAGGTTAGGATGGGGTGAGGGGAAGGTTAAATGGCAAGAGGGTATAGGTCAGAATTCGGTGGCAGTCGTAAACCGACGCTCTGGCACAGGGCGCTGCCTCCCGATGTGTTGGGGCTCCCAAATGTTTGGACACCCATTGTCAGTTGTGTGAGAATGTGTACTCCCTCCAGCGCGTCCTGGGTCTTACTTTGGGTCTCCTCCTGGTTGGACGTGCCTGGAAACCCTCACCAAGGAGGCGTCCAGGAGGCATCCTAACTAGATGCCTGAACCCACTTCATTTCAGCTGCTTGCCTCATTCTCACGGTCGCTACCGAAAGCTTGTGACCATAAGTGAGGGTTGGAAAGTAGATCAACAGGTAAATCGAGAGCTTCGCCTTCCAGCTCGGTTCTGTCTTCGCCATGACAGACCAGTTCAGCACCAGCCACAGCACCAATCTGACTATCGAGCTCTCACTCCAACGTTCCATGATGTGTGAAAATTGTTTCTAAATGGTTATCATAAAAATAACCAAACCGTAACTCAGCTACAGACACCTATAACTTTACTCGACCGTTTGGGTTAAAAAGTTTGACGTTTTGACTAAAGTACACCACAGAAGCTGGTAAGCACTAGGCATCAAAACAAAAGAGGATGGACAAATTCAGTCCTTCGGTTCATTACTTTAAAGTACGTACATCATTTTGTTAGATAAAAGCAATACATCATTGTTTGACTTTGAGTAAACAATATATCCTATGAATGACTTTTTTAAAACCATGTCTGCTAAGATGGACATTTGTGTCCACGTGGAGCTGGTAGTCAGATCTAAACTCAGGAACAATCTGTGCTTATTGTTTAAATAGTTTAAAACAGATTTCTACGACCGGTTTCTACACCTGATCCTTCTAATTGCCCTGTAGGGTAAAAAAACTGTGCTGTTTATTTCTACAGTGCTAATTCAAAACTAAAGAAATGTCTAAAGAGCCATACAAAAAGCAAAGCAGCCAGATCTTATCAAACCAGCTCAAGAGTAAAAGCCAATGTTATGTAATCAATCGTATCGACTTGTATGATTTTAAAGGAAGAGTTGTTGAAACAAGGTGAAACAGAGAAACTGCTGATGTCTTTCACAGCAGAATATCGAGGAGTAATACAAGAAAGTAGGTGTTAAATCATGTTTAAACAGCACGAATATAAAAAGTTATTTAACATAAACATCAAAGCAAAATAATACTACAACGGGGCATGCTGCATGCGATTAATACTCAAACTGATAATCAAGCAGATTCATTTTTTCTTCTTCTTACAACCGAAGTGCGATTGATTTATTCCTGTTGCATTTGTAAGTGGAGCAGGTTTGGATGGAGGAGCTGACCCAGAGTCAGATCTAACAGCAGAGGGAGCAGAGTACTGCGTGTACTTTGGAGACATCATTTAAATAATAGATCAGTATTAACACAAGCTGAAGCCATTAACAGGAAGGGACGGCTGAAGGAGGGGAAAGCTTAATAATATCAGGATAATTCGTTTGGTTTCAGGAGAAAAAAGGGACCTGTGGTATTTTATGGATGAGGAGCTAAAAAGTTTATGAACGGTAAGGGCAAATGATTTAATTGTGACTGAGTAGCGTTGAGACCAAGTTTACTTGATTTTTCAACACATTAGCAGTGGTCTAGTAATACGAATGAATGCCTTGTGAGTCGATCTCAGTGGAAGTAAAGTTCTTGTGCTCCTGTTTCAGAAAGTAGAAGTGAGTCAGAGGAGCAGGGAGCAGACATTGATGTTTAATTTCCACAAATCCCACAAGCCTAGAGGGGTTCTGCTATTTAGTAGCATTGCTAATGCTAATGGTTTGCTTCAGCTAGTTAAAATGTTTTCTGCTGTTTCCTGGATGCTAAACCAACAACAGCTTTCCCCGTCACGAGCCAAGATGGATGAGTCCACGAAAGCTGACTTTCAATGTCATGTAGAGCTGACTAGCTTTTCTAATCTGAGCGCTTCATCTAGTTATCATCGGTGGCTAATGCAGGAAACGAGGGTTCTATTTTCACGCGCTGCCTGCATGTTAAACACAGAATGACTTGATCATATTTCAAAAATAACAAGTTAAAAAAAAGTTTTTCAGTGACCTTGGTCTTCAGTGATGAATGATCCAGGAAGATTTATAAAAATCTGCCATATCTTTAGTAGGAGTCTAAATGTATCCAGATTACAGAGTAAGCATGATTTCAGTTACACCAGGAAGTAAATTAATATTGTTGGCACAAAAAGTGCATTCGGGGTCTTTCCCCCCTCCTTTTCCACACAGCTAAAAAGAGTTTGATAACCTTAATTTCTTATGATGAACAAACATTTTCTGGAGAAATAAATATGTTTTTGGAAATATTTTAGATTGTTCCTGCCTGTTTAAAGTTTTTTTTTCAGTCTGTCATTTCATTAATCTCCTGTTCAGCTTAGCTCACCACACGCATTCAGTGGCATTCTGTTTAGGCAGATGTTAAAGTCCTAATGATTTGTGATAAAATGCAGCCAGGTGTCCAATTTGACATACCGGGTAAGCCCAAAAGACAATGTTTTATTGTTAGAACTACTCTGGTTTGAACATTCTCTAAAAACATTTACAGAAACCTTTGGAATGAAATTTCTTTTTTTCATGTCTAAATTGCATTTGTATTTTTACACAACCACATGTGTGTCTTGAAGAACCAACATAGATCAAATGGATACATTAAATATCTTGACTAGAGGTTGGTTTGTGTTTAGGCATTGTTTTGATTTATAAAACTAGAGCATAAGATCAGATATACGAGGCAAAAGCAGCATAGCCTTTGACCTAAAGTATTTTTAATTTAAAACTAATTAGAATTGGCTATACCAGTGCTCTGTGCTCAAGCATACAGAAACATGTCATCGACTTTAAAGCAGAAATCCAGTTTTTTTCACAGACGACACCACCTAGAGGAGGAAATGTGTATTGCACCTTTGAGCCCCTCTTCCTGCTTCCGTGACCCAGCTGGAAGTAACGTGACAGTACATCACTACAATTCCAGCTATTATTCGCACGTTATGCTGTTTTTTCATACATATTTTGCAAAGACTTTTCTATCTTTAAGAAATATCGCCAACTCTGCATTTGTTTGACATCCATTTAAATGGAATGCTGAGATCCTTCCTTGAAATACATGTTTAGGGGCTTTCGGAAGATTTAGTCTATTGGCTTTTCTTCACTTTTGTCTGTCTTTGAGTAGAAGTAGGCTTTTGTGAAATCTGTATTTTTATGGCTATAAAGACAGTTGTCGCTGCTCCATGATTCGCCGTTTATTTGCAGCATTGCAAACAGTTCAAAACCGCTTCTCAGTGTTGGTTCTTCCACAAACTGGCACACACTCTTTGTTTGTACTTAAAAGTGGATATTCATGCTAATGGTTAATTCTTAGCAGCGCTTGATTCAAATTGCTTGAGGCGCTAAGGGACAGGGGGCGGGCTCAGCAAAAGATTTACATATTATCTAATTATTTATCAAAACAGGTTCAGACTATCACCTTTACACATTTCTGAAAAATAAATAAATAAATAACCCGAAAAGGGGAAAACTTCAGATTTCAGTTTCATGTTGATCTCTCAGAAAATGCTTTCCAGACCTAATTTTGGCAAAAATAAATCAGTTCTGAACACATGAACCATTGACAAGCTAGAAGTTCGATTGGTTTTGTTTCCCTCCTACACGAGTGCAAATTACTCAGATCTGTCAGCCATCATGCCACATGTCAAATTGATGCCCCTCAACCGAGTGTCACTCTTCAACACTGATGGGTAAGAGAAGCACCCACACACACTCTCATCAGATTAAAAGTGTTGTCCTGCGTCCTTCACCTGCCAGGTGGTATCAGACAACACCAAAGGTGAATACTGGCTTGTGTTACTTTGCAGAATCACCCTTGTCATTACACAGCACAAGTGCATGTGTGGTTCGTATATAGTCTTGCTGCATGTGGCAGTATGCTCAGGCCATTTCTGTCACCAGTGCCGTGTTCATGACAGGGACAAAGACCTAAACTGCACTATTACCCAGTGTTTGTGAGAAATAGTTTTATAACATGTTTCTCTTTAGATCCGATGAACAAATGACACCTTGTACCATATGCAGCCTTCTTTAACACCCCTGGCCAGACAATAACATGAACTAACTTGCTTCTTCTGTCATAAATTTAAAGCTATATGTATGTAACACTTGTGTGTGTTGTCTCTTTACTCCAAATGTTAGGAGAAGATTGTTGAGATGTATTTTCTTTTTTTTCCAGAGTGAAATGAACATCATACAGACTAATTTAAACTGGTATGTTTTTGGTTACTCGTACTTTCCCTGTTAGTTTTTTTTTCTGGTCAGTGTGTGTACACGAACTGGTCTGGATGATAGAGGATAAATGGCCAAAACGAAGCTACAACACTTGAATAAAATGATGAGCCTCCTTCTGAAACGCTGTATTGTTGTAAATAGCAACTATGGTTGCACGAAACATTGTTCAACAAATTAGACAATAGTCACATTCCTCTCACAAAAGTACTAAAATGTCTGATTTGTTGGCTTTAAATTGACAATGTGGTTTAACATTGAAAAATGTCAACATTGTCCACAATAGTTTGACAGTGGTTATTTTATGTGCTAAATGTCACCATTTGTGTTGAATTATGTTCGAGAAAGCACTCTAGACCTGAACCTGAACTTCAAAGGCTTGAACCCAAAGATCAACACCTAGCAATGTGTGCTGAAATGACAAAAATAGCAATAAACAAACAACAACAACAATAATAGTAATAATAATAATAATAATAACAATGATAATATTACATTTACTTAAAATGTAATAATGAAAATAAGACTTTGCTCAAAAATGGGCTTCAACAGAATATTACTATTACTAGAAATGATGGTACTCGTAACCTAGAATTTTGAGTGAACCGAGCATTCCCTGTAGAAAACTCAGTGGCAAATAAAACTGGTCTGTGAAAGATTTTTACGTTTGAAAAATACATTTAGCTTTAAATATTCACAGATTCATGACAGCCAAGAAACATTTGCTTCCCAGGTTTAAAAAAGAGGAAGAGAAAAATCTACTGGCTCTACCTGAAACAAAAAGAGGTCAAGTATGTCAGGAAAAGTTTGAGTAAGGGGTGTTCAAATTTCTTTTTACAAGTAGGTATTGATGTGTGATTTTTACAAGGTGCAAGTAGGAGGAGAAAGTTGCAAAACAGGCAATCTATCTGTAGTTTCATACCATACCATACCATACCATACCATACCATGCCATACCATACCATACCATACCATGCCATGCCATGCCATGCCATACCATACCATACCATGCCATGCCATGCCATGCCATGCCATACCATACCATACCATACCATACCATGCCATACCATGCCATACCATACCATACCATACCATACCATGCCATGCCATGCCATACCATACCATACCATACCATGCCATGCCATGCCATACCATACCATACCATACCATACCATACCATACCATGCCATGCCATACCATACCATACCATACCATGCCATACCATACCATACCATACCATGCCATGCCATGCCATACCATACCATACCATACCATGCCATGCCATGCCATGCCATGCCATACCATACCATACCATGCCATGCCATGCCATGCCATACCATACCATACCATGCCATGCCATGCCATGCCATGCCATACCATACCATACCATACCATACCATGCCATACCATGCCATACCATACCATACCATACCATACCATACCATGCCATGCCATGCCATACCATACCATACCATACCATGCCATGCCATGCCATACCATACCATACCATACCATACCATACCATGCCATGCCATGCCATACCATACCATACCATACCATACCATACCATACCATACCACACCATACCATACCATACCATACCATACCATACCATACCATGCCATGCCATGCCATGCCATGCCATACCATACCATACCATACCATACCATGCCATGCCATGCCATACCATACCATGCCATACCATACCATACCATACCATTCCATGCCATGCCATACCATACCATACCATACCATACCATACCATACCATACCGTACGGTTTCACATTTCAAGTTGTAGACAGTTGTACCTTTTCATCATCCTGTCTACATATCCAGTTAATTCATCTATTCATTAGACTGACAGTCCACATGTTTGTCAACCCATATTCACACCATATGTCCATCTGTTTATCCACCCATCCATCTTATGTATCTATTCTACATGCATCCAGCCAACATAATAAATCATGTAAGTTACAGCACACACATATTATTATCATTATTAATATTGCAGTAATGTATCCCATCAGTCAGTTTCGGCTGTAGAATATTTCAGACTTGGTAATACACAAGTATGTGATAGTTATGAATTCATCTTGTGAACGTTGCCACAATCGCCTTGGGGAAGCATCCCTTGTATTCCCCGCGCTCTTTTTCTCTCCGACTGGTCCACACAGTGCAGCTGGATGTTTAGGTGGGAGAATGAGCAAGCGGCAATCCTTTTTATCCCTTCCCACCCTGCAGTAATTATACTGTCAGCAACGAACATCAGGCGACTCAGACAGCAACACAATAAGAACAGTGGCGGGGGGCGTTGAGTTCTTCTCTTGCCTGTAACTATGCAACTTAAATGATCATGTAAGCAGAGCCAAGTTGATCCGAAGAGAGATGTCTCCACTGAACCAAAGATATGATGAAGCTTTGCAGTAAGCAGGTGTTGACTTGTGGACTTTAGTTGGTAGGATGTCGAAGAGGATAATAAAAACCTTCTGCAGGATTTTTTGAATCAAACAAATCTCTCTGGTCGATTAAAGAAATCCATACCGAAAGGTGGTATAAACACAAGCCTCACCCGTGGCAAGAAAACAGAAGAATGCTGTCCCAATATTTCACAGGTGGGACCCCAGCTGATGAATGGACCACTGAGGAATCAGCTCAGATTTGCCAAACTACCTGATTTCCCCACAGCTTGTTAGGATGGATAGTCTGATATCAAGGTTGGCCTTAGTATTTAACATTCAGATACATTGATGAAGTCACTTTAGACCATACCTTCTCACAGAAACATCCAGCAGAGACTTGGAGATTGATGCAGCCAGTCAGAGAGCTGGGCTTTTCCCACCTTGTGGGGAGCAGACAGGTGGAGACAGGCTGAGAGACAGGACATGTGAAACACAAACAGCTAGAACCGCAAACAAATAAATGTTAGTGTAACCCCAGTTTCACACTGAAAGCATCGGCATTGCAGAACGGCAACGGAATGTCACTGCTTCATATAGATTCCATTATAGTCTATGGAGTGTTTCAAACCAGCGGCGACGCAGCAATTTCCATGCACGTCCCAGAAGCAGTACGCCGCGCTGCTAAAGATAGGATCAGGTTCTATATTTGCCGCTTGCTACTTCTGGGATGCGTCAATTTCCGCATTTAACACAGATTTAGACAGGAAATCACAAATGGTTTCAGAGTAAAATCCCAGGTAAATTTTAAAATAAAAGAACTGCAGTGTTGCTATTTCATATATATGAAGCTTACGCGTGACCCATCGGCTTATTTCCTCACAGCATCCTTCCAGAAGAGCAGCAATGTGTTTTTCATGGCTCTATTCCTGGCAGTGGAGAGGAACAGCATCATATTCTGACCTTGGGTGTCCTGAAAGGCACTTTTAAATAAAATGTATTATTATTATTATTATATGACATCAAAGTGATTTCCTACTTTTTGGTTTAATGGCGGATTGCATAAACAAACCGTGACTTGAAGTCTCTAGGCATCTTGTAATCTTGCAAGTCCAGGGAAGAGCACGGTGAGGAAGCCATGCTTCCGCCAAGACTCTCCCAGTCTGAAAAGGGCCGCTTTGAAGTTCACGAGTGAACTGTTCCACTGCCGTTTCACACCACAGACGCTTCCAGTGTGAAGTCGGCATTAGACATCGGTGGGAAAAGTGCTGGATGTTTTTTACTCTAGTAAAACTACATGTAGAGCGGAGTTGTCAAACGGGATCTCGGGGCAAATCTGGCCTGCAGTGTCCTTATATTTGACCCAAGAGATCGGATATAAAATGTGTATTCGAACTGGCCCACCAGTGCATGCTAGCTAATACGCCTTATCCATGAATGCTTTGTTGTGTTGGCGTGTGACTCGAGACTGCAAAATGCCCTCTTCTTTTCTGTTTACGGTCATAAGCATCTATGCTAACAGTCTGAAGAGGGTACGGCAGATATTTGGAAAAACTCCTCTTACACTGTAACCCCGAATAAGTTCACTGAACTCAAAATTTATGAGGAAACTGATTACCTAATAATTTTTAAGTTAACTTATCTAAAAACTAAGTTTACCGTAACCTAAAAAATATGACCTGAATAAAATCAAAGCATTTAACTACCTCCAACCTATAACTTAGAACTTAAGCAACTTACAAAGTTTTATTTCACCAAACTTGCATATTTTATTTTATTTTAAGTTTATTACATGTTTTTACTAACTTAAATAATATAACTTATATGAACTCTAAATGGACCTATTAAACTCTAACCCAAATAAGCTGAATTTACTTAAAAGTGACAATGTGGCAGGCTGGTGAAGGCAGTGACTAACACCAGATCATGACTCACACACCCCTAGATGCTAACAGCCAATGAAAGTGGGACACTCAAAGTCAAGTCAAGAGTATCTGGTGTGAACAACCACAGTATTAATAACAATGGGACGGCACAGCCATACAGCATTACTTTGACCAACCTCCTCACTTATGGGGCCAACATGATACAAAAAGTAACACCACATCTGCAACACTGAATGGAATAATAACTGAGAACAACAATCCTCCACAATGAACATGCATAAACACCCCAAAATAGAGCAAAATAACTGAAAATACGACTACCCACAATTCACCACGCCCAGCAGTTGTTTATTGTTCCTGCAATCCATCAAAATTGCTAGTTTGTGGTTGTTTTTCCTGGAAATCCACAACTGTCTTTTAAAAAGATACAAGTCTTTTTATCAGACACACTTTAGGGTTGACGTAAAGACGAACGGAATAACATAGAAACATAAAATAATAAATCAATCATTTTTTGTTAACTTTAATCATTAAAGTTAAGTTTTATTGATTAATTAAAGTTATGCTTACTTAAAAAAAAGAAATAGTTCAGATTAATTAAAATGTTTGAGTTCAATCTACTTAAAACAAGGAAAAAGTTGAACAAGCTCAACACATTTGAGTTCTAAAAACATTTTTTTATTATGAGTTTTATCTACTCAATATATTTGATTGTTTTGAACTTTTGAGTTTACAGTGCAGCCTGAAGTTTACCCGGCGATTTACCGACTTTGAAGCCAAGACATTGACATTTCAACTCCTCAGGAATTTGTTTGTTGTTGTCGAGGAAACCGCACCAGCCATCGTCCATCAGGGGTGGGTAACTCCAGTCCTCGAGGGCCGGTCTCCTGCATCTTTTTGTGGTTTCCCAGTTAATTCACCTGTTCAGCAGCTCATCAAGCTCTGCAGAAGCCGGTTAATCACCTGCTGATTGAAATCAGGTGTGTTGAAAAAAAAAGCACACCTGATTTCAATCAGCAGGTGATTAACCGGCTTGTGCAGAGCTTGAAGAGCTGCTGAACAGGTGAATTAACTGTGTTGGAACTGGGAAACAACAAAAAGATGCAGGAGACCGGCCTTCGAGGACTGGAGTTGCCCACCCCTGCTCCAGATGGTTTTTCATTTTGGCCCAGTTTGAATTTGAGTGTGACACTCCTGGCTGAAAAACACGTGTTTTTTTTCCCCTTAATGATAAACAGATGCCTGCAAATCAGAATAAATCCCTCTATGGTAAGTTGATAATTAAAGTACGTTTAATGAGGAAAATAGAAAGCTTAGATAAATGGCTCATTGGGTAGCTAGTTTCAAGGTTCTTGGAGAACTGATACCAGTTCTGTGGGATTGGGTTTGCTGTGTTGTTCTTTTCTTTCTGTAACCCCAAACAGGCTCCATGATGTGGAGATCAGTGCTCTGTAGGGGTCAGACCATCTGCTGCTGGACTCTCTCTTGTCTTTGTCACTGGAGACGGTGAGTAGCGGTGCATTTTAAGCTTGTTGCCTAGCTGCAGACCTCATTTAAAACAAGTGATTGCCTCAGTGGGATGGTTCTGCAAGAAAGATAAGAATGTAAATAACAAAAATCTGAATCCACCTCCAGTCGGTTTTACTGTAAAAGGAAATGTGAAAAGAAAGATGTTTGAGTGTCAGTAAATGACTTTAACCATGATGAATTTGCTTAATTTTGTCATTTGCTTTTCGATAAGATGAACAATATAACTTTTTAAAATGTGAGGATAAATCACAAACGCATCGCTGAGCTGCTTTCTTCCATCCTTGTGAATGTCTTTGCTGTGAGGAGAAGCATCACCGCTCCACCGGTGTGTTTTATGCAGAGGAGGCCTCTGGCACCATCTGGTGTCTGGTTAAATGCTAAAATGTGTGCTTTGTATTTTGATTTCATGGATTTATTTACTCGGGTCATTTCCAAAACAATCCAACCCTTAATAAATAGACAGAGAGATCATTCCCAAAGCCCCATGCACGAATAAAGTAAAAAAAAAAAAAAAAACAGTAAAAATGCCTAAAGTTTTTTCTTTTACACACACTTGCCTTAGTGTCATTTGAGCAGCAAGTGCTCACCCTCTCACTAATTTCATGTGATTTTATTGAGGTAAGCAAACTGGCTGGTATCATGTAAGAAATATTTGGAGATCAATGCGAATCTAATTTTAGTATTTTTACAGCAAAACTTGTGTTGCCTTTGAGCAAACAGCAGCAAAGAATGGAACCGTAGCAAGGTCCTTAATCTGAGCTAAAAGGCACGTTTAACAGTCAGAGCTCATTGTGCTGTAGTGGAATTTCATTGGTTGCTTCACTGAAATCTGGCATATGTTTTTACTTCAGTAAAAAGTACAGATGAGGGAGTAAAAACAACTTAGGTAGAAGCCAAAGTATCACAGAAATTTCTGACTAAAATGATTAAAGCATGCATTTTCATGTGTACTTGAAATGAAAAGTATTCAACTTTATTATGCAACTCTTTCATCTGTTTAAATCGTTTTTGTGTGCCAGTAAGTGATAAAATACAGCAGAGATATTCAATTCCAGGCCTGGAGGGCCGATATCCAGCACATCTAAAGAGTAACTAACCCCCAGAATAACCTTTTTGTGCTCATAAACAGAATAACCGGGTCTTTACAAATGCAATCTTTCTGTTTCTGTGCATTTTGACATGTTTGCGTAAACTTGATTGAATCTAGAATCTAGGTCTAAAACATCTCAGTGCTGCCCCCTGTGTGTTGAACTGCGGCTACTGCATTTCAAACTTGTGATTGGCTGGTGCTGGAACAATGTCACATCATCGGTACAGACTCCCCCCACCCCCCACCCCTCCCTCCCTCCCAGGATGGAAATTCCCCACACTTGGCCATGCCACTCCATGCCTCCTGGAAATGCCCACTTCCATAGCATTTTCCACATCTTGCCTGGGGCTGAAGTTACGTTTTCTGATGGTGTGCAGTCTCTCTCTAAGTTTTAACTCTGCTTCAACACACCTGGTTTCAGTCAGCAGGTAATTAACAGAATTCTGCAGAGCCTGATGAGCTGCTGCACAGGTGACTCAACCACTGAATCAAACGTTTTGGAGCAGAGCAACAACTAAAACATGCTGGATGCCAGCCTTCCAGGCCCAGAATTCAGTACCCACGCTTTACCGCCCCCTGTGGCCAGAATGCTGGACTTGCAATTTTAGACTGGCGGGTGCGCCCTGTTGGTGGAGGGTAGGGTGTTGCCAAATTCACTGAAATAAAATAAAAACAGTGTAGATAAGTGAGTCTACTCAACGTTTACGTAGAGTAAGAGCTTAATGAACCTAAAGATGTTCTGATGTGAGATCCACAATAAATATAAAACAGGCTAACATGTAGCTACTCTACAACAGAGTAATGGTGACATTTGATTATCATTTTGTTTATCACTATGGTGTCGAGCCACGTGCAACGAGAGGAAATGTTGTCCGCTCAATTTAAAAACGCCTTGCTGCATGTGAACGCTCCAAACCTCAAACAGGCAGCTAAAACGATGCAATAGAAAAACACCTGGCCTCCATCTGTCAGCCACACATGGGAAGGAGGTAGCAGGCCAGCTCATGGCCTCTTCACACCCACATGGTCTTCAGTAGCCTGGGGGTATCTTTGAGAAGCCTACTGAGTATCAGCTAGCAGCTGCTAGACGACAGGGAGACAAAAATAAAAAACTTTAGCTGGCGCAACAGGAAGGCACACTTGTTCCTTGTGAGCTGGAGGTGACATTGAATAAAAATCCAGTCATGAAAGTAAAACACTTCGTCTGGCACGGGCTGGTGAGAGTACTGGAGTTTCCTCTAGCTTCCTCAGAGACAACTGATGACGTGCTCCAAAAAGAGAAAGCAGCTGACATGCGCCAGCCTCACAGAGCCTTGTGGAGACAGATGTTTAGTCTGAGTGGTCTCAGGCGCCCAGGTTGCTGTGTGCAGGACATCTGCCCTTCTTCACCTCCATCCTGGAGTAAAGCTTGAAATGCCCGTGACAATGAGGCACCGTGCACGATCCCACCCACCTTTCAGCTTGAGGTTAGTTGGAAGGCATCTGAGGCTCAGAGGAGCACATTGTCGTAAAGACGATCAGTGCAACCTAAGAACATTGTGTGTGTAAGAGATTGTTAACAAATGGAGGCAAGCCAGTCCCATGTGTCCAAGGCGAAGGACCGTCACATGCATGAAAGACCATGACAGATTTATCAGGCACCCTCCTGCCAACAGGGATGTGCCAGGAGAAACCACGAGGAGGGTGGCAGTTAGCAGTCTGCAGTATGCCCAGAGCAGCTGCATCATGCAGCAGCAATGCATGATGGTGTTCGGTCAAGTTTATAAAAACTACAGTTTAAAAGCACACCACTGAGCTGTCAATAGAGATCATTAAATTAACCAGTTACACACAAAGTTAGCCTAAAGAGCAAGTTCACTGAGAAACCGTTTGTTACTTGTTATAACTTTGATTTTCACATGCAGGCGAAATGTGAAAATAGTCTTCTACCCCTATTTCCTGCATTAGCTGTTGATAGAAAATAGATGAGGAAATGGTCAGGTCAGAAAAACCCACAAGTTAAAACAAAGAATCACTTCGGAACGGTCTTCTGGGGGAAAGCTAGAGCAGTTACTCGGAAGAAAAAACAACAACCCAAAAAGCATCACAACGCTCTCCAGCCAGGCAGTCCACCATCAGCGATCATGAGACTTACCGCTGTGAGGCAAAATAGTTTTTGAGGTGCGAGGTCAGTAATGAGTCGTGGGTGCCTCTCTGAGGGGAGGTGAGAGAACATCTCTGGAGTCCCTTTGGACGCACAATGCTTTCTTTATGCAGCAGGTAGGGTAGATGTTCTGCACAGGAGACGGTGGTGAATCAGTTATTCTGGGGTACTTTGTGATCACATGCACTAACGTTTCCAAACCAGACTTGTATGTATCCTGTTGGGATGTATTTTTCTGAAACCAGCTATCAGATTTTTGGTTTTAATGAATGGATGGGTCAAGTTATTTAGGCACCAACAGTTCTTTTAGCCATTACTGTCGGCTGTTTTATTATCTGTGATAAATACAAAGGTTTTTTCTAGGTAGGGCTAGGGGGCTGCTAAAATGGACCTTCTAAGCAGGTATTTGTCCCTGACCGTGGATCTGAAGCATGATGAAAGAAGGATTCAAGTTTTTTTGCTCATTTGGGGTGATGTCGGTCATAAATTTAAATTTAGACCCATTCGTAAACTATATACATGTGTTGTGCCCTTGTAGCCTGCTCCAAAAGCAGCTGATCTTTCTATTAGTTTCTTATGGACAACATTTACCATGCCATACGATACGATACCAATCGATACGATGCAATACGATATGATACGGTACGGTGCTGTACCATGTCGTGACATGCTGCACCATTCCACAACAGTATTTCTGTAGCACATTTAAAAACGGCTTGAGTGCTGATCAAAGCGCTGCACAGGACAATAAATCAGCCAATACAAAACTTCTACAACAAACACAAAAAGGAGTCACTCCCCAAAAGCCAAGTCATAAAAGTGGGTCTTCAGTGATTTAAAGACATCAATGGAGGAAGACTGTCTAATTGTGAGGGGCAATCCATTCCAGAGCACGGGGGTGGCATACAAAATGTCCGCTCCCCCCTTGCTTTATAGTTCATGGAAGGAGCAGCGAGCGGTCAGCTGACCTCGGTGAGCGTAGCGGTACATAAGGAGTGAGCAGGGCTGATAAGTAGAAAGGTGCAAGACTATTCAAAGCATCAGCCTCTTTTGTAAATTTGTTTCAGCACCTTCAGATTATTACCCAATGTTATCATCATTTTTACTGTAGTTATGAAATGCAGATTCATCACCAAGTTGAAGATGGGAGTTTATTCTAACAATTTGCATCCCAAACCTTTCAGAAATCGAATGAAAAATGACTAAATTCTCATAAAGGTCTGTGAAAGCAGAACACTTCAAATGTCACCATCTGCTGGTCACAGCATAGAACGGAGGATCAAAGCAACTTATACCCCAGTTTTTATCTCCTATAAGCAAAATGCTTAAAGTGTGCAAGAAGAGAGACTTTTATGAGAATCTTAAAATATGTAAGGGTTTGCTGGCAAATACAGCTCTGAGCATAAAGCTACATAACACTGTCCTGACCCTTACTTAAGATGTAACTGTAAAGTTCTGCTGCATCTTTAAAAGGTCCAACGACTTGTCAGCTTCATTGCTTTCAAACACATTTAGAGCATATTTAGAAGCGAGATGGTCCATCTGATGTGGAGGGTTGAGAGCTGGCTGTCAGTCACATACCAGATGGCTTTCTCCAGCACGGCAGAGCCTGCAGCATCACACTCACACAACGTGCCACTCACCTATTTAGCACTCTCCACACACTGTGACAGACGGTTTCTCAGACATTTACAATCACTCATGTGGTGCATCTGTCTTAAACCATCAGCCCACTTCCTGTCCACTCCATACTGAGCCTACATAAATCCTGGCATGTGCTCTCTGGTTTCCTTGGCTACAAAGACACTGCAAATAGACCTGCATGCAACAGCCAGCTTGTTTATTTTCCATGACATTCACATATTGAGGTGGTTCTGCATTTGATCTGAGAGAATTTATAGAGTTGCAAAAACATGCAGATACTTAATAAAAGCTTTACCAGCAGCCACAAGACGGGGGAAACACTCCTAGTGCAGCTGTTCTTCAGAGAATTAGAGCATGAGACGAATAAACGGCTGCTGTTTCGCATAAACCTCACCTTCATGATATGTATTAAGCTGTTTAAAGCTGCAATGGCAAATCTGCAGAACAAGCTTGCTTGTAAACACAAACACGTCACAGATACCTGTCGAGCATAATCCCAGGACCACATCCACGTTTACCAGAACCCGCATTACCTGAGTGAACGAGAACGCGCTGAACACCAGTCGCCATTTTCTGTGACTAAACGTCTCTTGTTGTCCATGACTTCACACGGTGCGGTGGTTCAGTGAGACCGACAACTGGATGGTCCAGTCGGTTTTGGTGCAACATGTCGTTGGTGCAGGGTTTTAGACGAATGCAAAAGAACCATATTCATTCATTATTTTGGGTATCTCCACAGTATAGTTATAGCTATACGGTGTTAGAATGTCCTTAAGAGGCATGAAAAGCAATGTTCCAAGCTATGACCACCAATATCGTACATCACATAAAACAAAATACACACTAGGAAGGAACTCAAGACTAAAATAAGTTTAAAAACCACATTAATGTCAGAGTGTACCATTTTGTTTGTAAAAACACTCCACGAGTACACCAAATATGTCCGAGTTCGTACACTTAACACAAAACTAGCAGCACTGTAATCATCTCTGCAGTCTATATACAACCCTCTCCACAAGTGAGTGTCTGATGGAAACCAAGGCAGCCCAGCCCACCACCAGAGCCAGGGTGGCTCCGTTGTGGCTATCACAGTGGCAGCGGCTGGACAGTGGAGGCCATGGCCAAGAAGCTATGCCTTATCCTGGAGGAGCATACTTCAGATGGGTGCAGCCAATGGAGGAGAGAGGGAAAAATGGGACGAAAATATCCAGAAAGTTAGATCTATATTTGGCTACGCCTCCCCGTCTTTCTTCTTTATGTGTGAGCCACAGCAAGTGGAGAACAGAGCCACCTCATCTCCCAGTGAAACCCTACACTTTCTGCTGTTCCCTCCCACTCAGCCCAACAAGGTTGCTGAAGTTCACATCAAAACACTTTTGAACAACACTCTACACTGGATTGTTGCCTTGGATTAAATACCAAGCTCATTTTGAATTCTGGTGCCAGCAGGAGGAACCCTTTGGATTATTGTCACCTGATAATGATGCTACCTAGGTGCTGACTGAAGGCGTGAGCGCCTCAAAGCCAAGAGACAGGCTCCTCCAGTGACGCTGACACACAGGCCAGGTAAGATAAAAGGTCAGTCACCATGTTTTACCGGTCCATTCCTCTGAAAAGTGGCTCTAAAATCCTCTTGTGATTTCTTGCAAATGTTAAATTCGTGACAAGACGTTTATTTTTTTAATCCACATGTTGTTTAGACATTCTAGAAGAAACCAAGCTTTCTTTCCTCTTCCTGGACTGAGTGTATAAAACCCTTCTGATTTTCACATTGAGGAAATGATAAACTTGATGCTTCTGTTAGAAAGATCCAGGCTGCAGTCCCAGGTTTACCATTGAGTCAGGAAGTGGAAACAGGCCGGACCTTACGGACCTGCTGTGTCTAAGACTCAGGTTCAGAGGCTGAAACCACATTTGTTTTCAGCTTTACTTCAGATAATAAATCTGCTTGTAAAAATGCAATGAAGTACCAATCATTTTAACTTTAAACGGCTCCGTGATGTAATGGTTGGGCCTGTTACTCACGGTGTCTATCTGCAGACACAGGATGTGAGAAAATACACCAACGTCTGGTTGAAATGACTATATAACATTTTTATGTTTTATACTGCAAAATAAATAAATCACTTTTTCTAACATTTATCTTCCACCAGCATCAGAGTAAGGGTTGCAGTTTCCTTTTAAATTAGTAACTCTCTCTAACTTTTTGAGAAATATTCAAACCATCCTATAAAATTCCACTTGCAAGTTCATGCCAACAGTCCTCAAAGGCAGAGACGTCAGACAACATCAAGTTAAAAGTGGGAACCCAAAGAAACCTGACTGGGACTCATTTCTTGGTCTTTAAAAGCATCCAGTTTAGAGCTGTTTAGCTCCCATTCCATCAGAACAGGTAATGAGCAGAATTATTCCCGTGCAGAATCAGATAAGGAAATTGGCATCTTAAATACACAAGACCCTCTTTATTCCACCTTCTATACAGCCTCAGCCACAGACAGCAGGCTGCTGTTGGTAAAAATATCTCCACTCAGTATTTCCTGGAATTAGAGTCTGCTTAATCACTATGCTTTTCAAAATTACACTACACTGCAAAACAGACATTCAGAAAAGTAAAAACGTGTTGTTTTTAGTCATTTTCTTATTTAGTCTAAAAATCAAACAAATGTTTTTATCTGCATAAATAGCATGGATTGAAATAAAGAAAATACACTTAAATATGACTGCTTTTCTTGTTTTGATAAAACAAAATGCTAACGGGGTTAGCTAAAGATGCTCGACTGGAATTCTTAAGATTGGCAAGATAATCTAATGTTAGCTAGCTTACCCCATTGGCCAATTCTTTCACTCAAAGCCAGAAAATTTGGTCATATTTGAAATTGCTAATCTGCAACAAGCTAGTTTTTAAACACAAACACGGAAGAGCCCTGCACGGGCCTAAAATCTGAGCCCGTGTCCAGCCCGGCCCGAGGGGGTGGAGCCCCAGCCCGACCCGGCCGAAAAGGTTTTCAGGATTCTCTGGTCCGACCCGAGCCCAACTTTTTTTTAACCAACTAAATGAAAACAAAGTGCGTCAATCCTGACCAATGCGTTAAAAGACGTGCAGGTTCCGATCATTTTGTTTTTCCCTCATTTACCGTCACGGAGATAACGGCGCAGTGCGCCTGGCTCTGGTGGTAATCAAGTTAAATTTTATCTCTTTGCAACAATTTTCACAAGAAAACAGAACAGTTAAAAGCAGGGCTTGTGTTGACCGGACAGTTCCTGTATTTGACCGTTTATTTTGACGGAGAAAGAATAGAAAGAACTACCCCGACGCATGCAGACGAACTGACACTTTATTCGTTACGCACATCGCAGATGTAGCTAAAAGATTCCCATCTGAACATCTGAGCTGCTCAGCGCGTACATAAGGTACACAGCGAGCTGAAGATGTGGACATTGGCTTGGAGCGCGTCTCAGAACCAGAGCGCATGCAGGAAGGTTCCTCCCACTGAAGCGAGTGTTTCCCAAACCCGGTCTCTCAGAGAGACTTGTCACTTAGAAAATGTTCCCTGATTATGAAACTTTGGCTGAATAGCGCTTGTTCCTGTCTCCAATGTGGCGACACATCCAGGAGCCGTCTGAGGAGAATCCCAGAATCTCTTCAGCTCAGGAAGCGCCTATGATTACGCACAAGCGTGACCCGTCAACCCGGTCTCACAGTAAGACCGGGTTGGAACTGTTCAGGTTTACGCAGACAATCTTTACATTTAGAATTAGCTTACAGATATAAAATTAATTCAGTAAAATATAAAGCTTTTTATTTAAATATCCATTCATTATTTTACAAGCACAGAGAGCCGCATCAGATTCAGATCAGCGGGAAGATTCCTCCGACTGAATTCAGTCGGAGGAATCTTCCCGCATGTGCTCTGGTTCTGCGACGTGCTCCAAGCCCCTCTCCACATCTTCAGCTCGCTGTGCACCTTATGTAGTACACGCTGACAGCGAGCTGCGCTGAGCAGTGTCCAGCTCAGATGTTCAGATGGGAATCATTTCTTGGGTGATTTAGCTACATCTGCGATGTGCGTAGAATAAAATGTCAGTTCGTCTGCATGCGTCGGGGTAATTCTTTCTATTCTTTCTCCGTCAAAATAAACGGTCAAATACGGGAACTATCCGGTCAACACAAGCCCTGCTTTTAACTGTTTTCTTGTGAAAATAGATAAAATTTAACTTGATTACCACCAGAGCCAGGCGCACTGCGCCGTTATCTCCGTCGCTGTAAACGAGGGAAAAACAAAATGATCGGATCCTTTTCTGACCTTCCCCACCTACAAAGTTTAATTACAACAATCAAACGTGACAGAGCCTGGATTTGTATTCTGAACAGTCTAAACATGTTTTAAAAAGAAACGTATGACAAAAGTGGCACCTGCTCAGTAAACCACCAACAGGGTGAAAAATATCTAAATATTGTAGCAGAGACGGGCTACAACTTCTGGATCCACTTTATATAAATCGTTTTATTGATTTTCTTCTCACGAAAGACAACTTTGACGTACACGAGCGACCGGTACCGGCTGCTGTCACCTGTTGTGAGCAGCGCTCTGCTGTCTGAGGGTAGGCCCCGCCCACAACGCCGCGGCTGCTGTGGCTCCCAGTGTTTTCTTTACTGTGGGAAACGGGTAATAATGGCTCTTTGATGGGAACAGGTTGACGATCCCCGGTTTAAGTGTTTCAAATTTTTTTAATGAATTCGATTAAAAATAAAGGCGCCCGGCCCGTGTCCGAGGTAATTACACAGTCGCTGGCCCGTAGCCTGGCCCGAGGGCCGTCGGGCCGGGCCGACCCGACGGCCTAGGGCTTCAGTGCAGGACTCTAAAAGACGGTGATGGAACGCTCACCCCTCCCATTGGCTACCATCATTAGGCCACGTCCACCTGTTACCATAACCCACATTGCTTGAGGAAACAAGAAAACACTTGTTTTCTATGTCCACATGTCTTTTGTTGTCCGTGACCTCAAATGGCGTTTTTCTTTTTGGTAGCAGTGGTAGCAGCTGGCTGTTTCTTTGGCAGTTTTGAGTGGATAACCTTCTCACAACAGTGGTGTTCTGTTGCAAAATGCGTGAGCGCGTAATGAGAGGACCCAGGTACATGCAGAAGTGCAGTGGATTGGACCAACTCCTGGTATTTGCTGAGGCTTTGAGACAATAATTAAGAATTTTCATTAATAAGCTCACTAAAATCTATTTAAAGCTATACTATGTAAAAACATTGTTACGGGACATAAATAATGTTCCAAGCTAGCTTGTTTTGCAGATTTGCTAGTGCAGCTTTACTATTTTTTTACCTCAAGTAGTACTGTTTTTACAGATGACAATATTTATTCTTTTTAGACTAAAATAAAAAGCAAACGCCTAAAACAAAGCTTCTCCATACTTTCTTGAAAATCAGTTTTTGCAGTGTATACCTAAGTACGTTGGTCAGCCCTTCAAGATACACTTGGAGGTGGATTGAAACCTGGTAGGCCAGAAAAGACTATTCTGTCTAACCATAAACAGGCGGTGGTATTAAAAAGGACAAAAACTAAACTATCATACAACTCCGACCCTACGTCCCCTTCCACCTTTGACTGTTTCATATGGAGAAAACATGCATGAACAATAAGTTCAATGGAAACATCAGAGTGCACTGAAAGGTGGTGTAGGATAGTAAAAGCCTTTTCAGTTCCTGACGTTTTATTGCTTTCCAAGTTGTTCATACGTCAGCCTTTCCCCAGCCTCCTCAGAGTGCACACCCACCCTGCCGTGAGACACTCTTCCTGCCAGGATGCGCCCATGTTTAGGCTACAGTCAGCCACACATCACTTCTTCTACAGCAGGAACCCGCACAACCACTGCTGTACAAAAGTACATAAATTCAGACTATTGGGGATTTTTTTCTTCTGCCACCAAGTCATAAACCAATCCAGGAGATACTTTAATCTTGAGGAAAGTCTTTAGATTCAACAGATTAATGTGATTTTGAATTGTAGGGAACGTTATCAGCAAACTTTACTCTCTGCAGTTCTTCTCTTCCTGTCTAGCTGGTGAAGAAAAACATGTCTGGGTTAAAAATTCAGCCATCTTCAATCAGTCTGTATCTTAGTCTAGGCTTTCAATGATCATGTCCTCAGAATGAAGAACATTTCCCGCAAATACAAAAGAAAATACCAAGATTGCTGAAACAGACATCTTAGTGAAATCTGCACTCATGTGCATGAAGTTGGTGTGTAAATTCGAATGAGTTTTCCACATGGCCTGGCACTGAGAGCAGCCATTGTGGGTATTTTCTCCACGCTGAAGAGAAAAGGTTGTAAATTCTGCTCCGATCTCAGTGGGTTTAGATTTCTAAACGTCTTTAAGTTTACCTGCACATTTATTCAATATAGCAGAAATCTGCCATTTTTCATGTAACGTGTCTGGGCATGTCTCACGCACGCTGAATGATTGACAGCTGTACGTAAGCGGATGTCTAACACTATTGGCTCGCGGGGCGGCACTCATTTAAAATAGAAAGAGGCACTCTGGGCAGGGAGTGGGGCCTTGCAAAAGAATAAAAATGAAAAAGCGATGTGTTGGTTAACCCTGACCCTAATTTATATCACAATACAGGCTAGGATGAAGAAAACATGCAGCTTTAAGCTAACCTTCATCAACAACGTGTTAATGTTTCTGCTGACCTTTCCCCACAGGCCGGACAGCTCGACAAGCTAAACAGAACAGATCCGAGCCTAGGCTGAGATGGAATTACGACTAGGATTGAGAATCATCCTGGTCTGGTTCATCCTGGCCTTGACTCTTCATAGTGAGAGAGCGGAAGCACAGAGAGCAGGTAAGACGTGAGTACACAAAAGGAGGACATTCTGAATACTTGTGACTGAGTGTTTCTGCATACCTTTGCTGCAGGGTGTAAAAATGTCCACTACGACCTGGCATTCATCCTGGATACCTCATCTAGTGTGGGAAAGGAGAACTTTGAGAAGATCAGGCAATGGATAGCCAACCTGGTAGAATCATTTGATGTGGCACCTGAAAAAACAAGGGTGGCTGTGGTTCGCTACAGCGACAGACCCAGCACAGAATTTATCCTGGGGCAGTACAGAACCCTGGAAGATGTGAAGAAAGCTGCCCGGAACATACGCTACACAGGAGGAAACACAATGACCGGAGATGCTATCAGCTACACCACCACCAACATCTTCACGGAGCGGAACGGAGCGAGGCCGAGCGCCCAAGGCCTTCAGAGGGTGGCCATTCTTCTAACGGATGGCCGAAGTCAGGATTATGTTCTGGAACCCTCGAAGGCAGCCGCCAGAGCTGGCATCAGGATGTTCGCTGTGGGCATCGGGGAAGCTCTGAGGGAAGAGCTGGAGGAGATCTCAGCCGAGCCCAAAAGCGCCCACGTCTTCCATGTGACTGATTTTAATGCCATTGACAAAATCAGGGGCAGGCTGAGGAGGAGGCTGTGTGAGAGTAAGTCAGTCACCAGACACGTTAGCAACACTGCATGCTGCAGCACCTCACCCGACAGTCTCATTCAATAAAGTTAGACCCTTTTTTACCCTCTTAACCACCATGCAGAGGAGCGAGCCCAACCACAAACCCCCCAGAGTTCTGCAGATGCACACTGAACTGTCTCAACTGGTTTCTCTGTTATGAAGCTTTAGATGGCAGCTGCTGCTAACACTGACACTGAGATGAAAGATTCCTCAGACATTTCTGTGGTTTGGTGAACCTTTTCACTGCTGCTGCGGAGCAGAGGTGCTGATCACCAGAAACAAGGTCATGCTGACTTCTGTTGTTTAGAGAAATTCCCTTTTAGAGACCACGTTTACTGGGAAATCGTTTTACTTCTCCTTTTCAAACAGGATTGGTCACTCTGAGTCTCACATGCAGGCTAAACATGAAAATAGTCCTCTACCCTATTTCCTTTATTAGCTGCCGACACAAAACCGACAGAATTAGCAAAGCCTGACAGAAGGACTTCACAATGAAATTAGCGTTGGGTGACTCACTCATCTCGGCTCACCACGGGTACGGCTTTTGTTGCTTTAGCGTCCAGGAAAGAGCAGGATGCGCCTCGGTTTGTAGAAGCTAACTGTTAGCATTAGCGACTCCACAACATAGCAGAACTCCTTCAGGCTGGTGTTATTTGTGGAGACCAAACAGCCATGTTGCAGTGCAAACTGAGTCAGTGGTAGAGTCGGGTTACTGTTAGCCAATCAGAGGTGAGAAGTCCAAATGGACTGATGTTTAGTTCCTGAAACAGGGGCGGCAGGGTTCTCTGTCCCACAGAGATTGACTCACAAGGCATTAATTTCTACCGGAGACTACAGCAGACGTGTGAAGAAGGGAACTTGGTCTTTAAAGCAGTAGCTTACATTTGCACACCTGAAATTAAATGAAAAGTAAACCTTTCAGCCAGCTTAATGATGCCAAAAAACTAGAAAAGAGAAGAAAAGGATTGTTCCTTGATCTGAGGTTCAACCCGATGCTTTTGCGTCCAAACCAAGGCCAAGGACAGCGGGGACAACAACGATGTTCTAAACCTTCTATAAGTTGCTCGGTCGTGGAGTTAAGTGAAAATTAATTCAGTCAGTAAATTAGTTTTATTCATTTTTTAACCCAGTGACCTCTGACCTTGCTGCTTGAGGTTTTCTACTTACCACCTAGTAACGGAGGTTGTAAATAAACTTTACTAGCTTGCAGGAAAAGAAATCCAGTCATGTGTTTGAATCCCTCCAGTCCCTACGAGTGAACCTCCGAGTGCCGCGTAGCTCACGAGCAACGCCAGCTACGGTTTTCACTCTGAAAGTTACAACCCCAGACTTCCATGTGAAGTCAAGGCAGACGTTTAAAAATCCACGTGAAGGATTTTTCACATGGGTTTAAAAGGTGAACTGTGTACATTGTGCACTGATTCTCACGTGCAATCTCATCCAAATAAAAACTTTTCACAACAAATCAAATAAAAAAGAGAACAAGAAGTCATTCCAAGGGTTCAAAGTTAGTTGCAGCGAGAAAGGAAAAGAGTTGCTTGTAGGTGTGCTTTCTGAACCAGAAGCAGGTTTTACATCGTTTCCAGTTTAACTCCCAGTCAGATCTCTAAATTATGCGTGTGCAACCACAAGAGCAGGGAGTTGCTCAGCTATGTACCCTGTTGAGATGCAGCGCTGTGCTGCAACACTGTCTTTAAAACGACTGACGCACCATTTCATTCACGGAACGATGATTTCTGGTTGACTTGTTAGCTGCATGAACAATCTAACGCAAACACCACACCAGGGGGGTCTTTCACAACGATTTAACAGGAAAGACAAGTGAAAAAAGACCTTAGTGGTGTAAAACTAGATGCTAGAACAATAACTGCTTGGACTGGTTGATCCATTCATTTTGCTTAAACAAGCCATGGTGGAATTTCTGAGCTTTTCAGAGTTTCTATGAAATTTTGTCCTCTCCCACAAATCAGGCTGACCTACATTTATATCACACTTGCGGGACCTGTGTCATGCTACTTTATAGCTTCCAGAGCAATGAAAGCACAATAAATGATAAAATAATTACTGTTGGTATCATTTTTAGTGAAAAATAAGTTATTCTTCAACCTGAAAACAAAACGCTTGCATTCGATGAAGCCCCGCCTCCCTCTGGGTGAAGTTCACCAACCGCAGACCTGGAGACCACAGAGTCATGCTGCTTATCAGGCTGTTAAATGCTGCTGTCGGTGTTGTGTTGCACCCATACTAAACTGGAACTTTGAAAGTGTGTGTGTGTGTGTGTGTGTGTGTGTGTGTGTGTGTGCTCTTTGAACAAATACACATTTAACTTTTATTATCCACTACAACAACGTTTGCATCAGCATGAGTAAAGCGTGCTGACCACATGAAACGATGTGAAAGAACAAACATTTCTGGTATTTTCCTGCAGAGGTAGAGGCTGCTGATACGTTACATTCACACAGTTAAAGGTCAACAGTGGAAGGCATCTGCTACACCAAAGAGAGTCAGTTTTCTACAATAGAGTAGTCGGTAGAAAT